CACACACATATATATATATATATATATATATATATATATAATGTATGAGGATTGTAGAGAATGTGTCAATAGCAAAACAAAGCCAAAACCTTGACATTTTAGGCAATTTAGAAATCCTGGCCAGGACATGTTAGGTCAAAGGAGGATATACGGTCAGCTTATTCAGTAAGTTTTTGCTTGCAACTGCATCTCATCCGTTCCAATAGTACCAGTGGTTCTGGACTCTATACTGACACCTATTGGCCCGGATGTATGACGCTTGTTCTGTAACCATTGCAGTTTCAGAACTGTTTGCTTTGTTCTTTTTTTGACAATGTCTCATTGGACATACATGCATAATGGACAATTTTCGATTCAACCACATTTTTTTCCATGACTCATGCTGGTACACGGCTCTGACTGTTTGTGCTTGGCACTGGAAGTTGCAACTTATATTGTCAGTCTGTGGTGTGAAAGCTGTGGGTCATTGCAGTTTGTTTCATCACTCCAGCAGGGATGCTTGTTTGGACATATATTTTCCCACTCATTCTTATTAAGTTTGGACCGGTGGATCGCACACATGCTGATGCATGTTATCAGTCTCACTACCTTTGGCGTTTAAAGAATCAATTCAAGTGTCTGGAGTTTGCTGCAACTTTTAAAACCTAACACTCAAAACCAGCTTGTATGCGGAGCAATTGCCCTGTGCAAATTGCAATCAACACTAATGTTGTAAGTCTGTGCCTTTATCTGATTTACATAATTACTTTAGTGAATTTGGATGCTAAAACAGTACAGAAAATGCATGCAAGTAAACAATGCTATCAGCAGGCACAATTCATTCTAAACCTTGGGGTAATTCTTCATGAGAAACATCCCAGAGGTGAACAGAGTTAGTGTGCAGCTGTAATCTATTAAGACAAGGTGAAATGTACTCCGCCTGGAGAAGCCAGAGAAACCATTCTCATTATTGTTTAAGCTTCAAAGTCACTGGGGTCTTATGTGTGCACTGGATTGACATTCATTCAACATGGGAACCGTGTGGTTTCAAAAACTCATCAGGAATGAATTTCAGAACAGAAATCTCATTCCAGTGGTTTGGTCTCCAGAGATGGGTCTCAAAAATCTGTTTACAATCAGTGCAAGACTTTACTGCATTTATTTCTGTAATAAGTACTCTTTTTAAAATTATACTAAAGTGTACTTCTTTTATTTACAAGTATACACGTACAAGTACAAGACAGTTTGATGAACTCTTACCAGAGAATCTTCCACACTGAAGTTAAACATGTCCATGGCATCTGTCTTCAGTTTGGACACAAAGTCCTTGTACTCGGGGTTCTGAGGCTCTCTGTAGGTCAGGATCTTCACGCTCTGTGAGGATTCAACACAAAGGCAAATTTTGAGTTGTATAATGTACAAGACAAAAAGTGCTCATTCATTCACACTGGTTAGGATACACACCTATGAATCACAGCCAAACAGAACATTTCAGCTAATCCAATCAACAAATCAGCTCAAGGACAGATACATGAAGCGGTGGAGTTTGCATACTCTTTATTGACGTTATGTATATAATTTGCTGTTCTTTTGTGCTGTTCAAACCTGTAAAGCCTGACATATGGAATAGTAGTCAGAAAAATATCTTTTTTAATGGAACCATTTATTAAAAAAGTGTGTTTTTTCTTGAGTATCATGTTTGATACATCAGGCTTTTATGGCTCATATAGTATGATGTATTGAGAATATGGAGCTCATACTCAAGGAGAAAAAATGATACCTACGTTCTATTCAGAGATCAAAACTGAGCAAAATATGCAATTTAGTGGTATTTGTATGGCCAAAATCATTATATAAATCAGTAAAGATTTCACAGTAAAAAGACACATGAACCACAACCGGAAGGTGGACATTTTTAGATTATACTAAAAGGTATCAGGCAACAGAATGCATAGAGTAGATTCTGTAGGAAACATTTCAGCAAAGTTTGGTCAGGCTGATGACCTAAGAGACTGCAGAAATGTGTATATCACATATGATACAGTAGACTTTCTAGGGTTAAAGATAGATGGTACCAGCAAGAGGAAACCTTCACCATGAGAGACAACAGTATGTGTATGCAGATGTGTGTGTGTGTGTGTGTGTGTGTGTGTGTCTCAGTGTCTAACAAAACCAATTCTGTCCAGGGTAGAGGACAACAAACAGGACAGCAAACACCACTAAAGAATATTCAATTATTTCAAATTGTTATTGTATATTAAAAAGCACTTTCCTAAGTAGTGCTTTTTCTTTCGGCTTGTTTGGATGTCTGCTTTTAAATTAAAAAAGGTGGCAGAAACAAACAACAGCTCCCGCCACAAAGCCTGTAGCATTTGTTCTCGCTCTTTCATGGTCACCTCCTCTGAGAAAATGTTTTTATGTCATCCATCGATGTCCAATTTCACAATAATTCCAACTGTTTTGTGCCAATTTCTTTTGCATCTGTGCCATAAACTGCCAACTTACGACAATCTGAGTGAAAAGGCTATTGTCTAAAAATTGGGAAGCATGCATTCTTACATCTTTAAACTCAGAAAAAGCCACCATGGTGTTTCACTTTGTATCTGTCCTCTGAAGTCCTCTGAAGATTGTGTATAACAGATTATGATTCATGTGAAGTGGACAGGGATATGGGAGCTGAAGCTGATGATAACAGAGTGCGTCTGAAAGATTTTCAATAGCACAGAAGGACAAAATAGGCAAGCAATACTACAAAACGTTACAGTGATGTAAATATGATTTTCAGCAAGAGCTTTTAAAAAGATTTTCCTGCCTGAAACAATTTTCTCTCAGAAATTGCTAGTAAAACTAGCAATGTGAAATTCTGAAGAAGTATTTTCTTCTTTTCTTTTTCTCGTTTTATTTACAACTTACAACAAACGTGAATCTTTGTATGTTACTCACATATTATTGGCAGTTATTGTCCCTTGTTATATATCAGTGTTACAATAATAAGACCAAAATGTGACTAAAAGTCTTCTTTTGTTTGTTGGTCTGTTGTTATTTTGGTGGTCTAAATAACTGATTCCCATTCAGTGGTATGTGTACCTCATTGCGTACTTAAGTAAGTTCCAGTGGAGCTCAGAAAGATGTAATTTTTACTCTATTAAATAGATAGATGTCTGTCTGATGGTTATGGTTTCATGTTAGCGACAGGTTGCTATTGCCCAGATGTTAATGTTTGTGATTAAAGATTACAAGACCATATGAATAAAAAAAAATGGTTGAGATGTGCATGGATAAATCATATATAATAAAGATTGCAATATTCCATAAAAAATTAGAATTGTGAATTTGGATTGCATGGTGACTTTAAAGCTAGTGTCAGTCTTAACAGAAACAAAATTAACAAAATGAAGCTTTCTCATGACTTTGGCCAACTGCTTGATGAGCAGGTTTGCTTTGCACTGCAGTCTTCAGCTTTTATTACATAAATGTCTAAACACAGGACAGTCAACTCTGATGCAAACAGTTGATGAAATCATTTGCTGTACCAACTGTTAGCTGTATCGTGAGCCTAATGGAATGATTCCTGTCTGTGGGTAAGTAAATGTCAGCTCACCACAGCTGTTAGTTAATGCCAATGAATGTTAATAGACCCTCTGCGAGTCTGTGTGAGAACTCATTATAATGCAGTTCCTTAGAGTGAAAAAAACCTAGTCCTGTCAGTCACAACACATCTCTATTCTGATTAAAGTCATCAGTTTTTAAGGATTTTCCGCCCATATTATCCTCCACAAGGTGAAACTCTTTAGTTTGGTTGCACATAAAAGTAATAACACCTCTCTTTATCAAGCTGTATGATATGAAGCAAGGATAAGCAAGCTGAAAATCAAAAATGATTTTATATATGCATTCCTGAAACGCCTGTGACTAAATTGACAGTGAGATTCTATTAAACCTTCAATTTTATAGGTAACGACTTTTATGTAATCATCTTTCCATTTTAAAATGAGCATTTTAAAGCAGCACACACACATTTCAATCAGTTACCTGCAGTGACATTAACTGCTCCAAAAATATGTTCAAAAGGATTCAGATAGCTAACAGAAATATGTGCGATATGGTCTTGTTCCAGCCTAAATAAACATTTAGAAAGTTCATTTTCAGGCAAAGTAGGGGGTGACGTTTGGCAGTGAGCCACATGAAGACATGCAGCCATGCGACAACCTTCACTAGCACCTCCAGAGCTGTCATATTTCCGCATATTTCCAATATCCAGTCATATTTCTCTGCGACTTTGAGCCAAACGCAGCACTGTCTGATTCTATCTGAAAAGGGGAAACAGCTGCAGCTGGCTGCTAATCACATCAACAAAGATCTGCACAAATATGTTTTCACAGTGAATATGCCTATGCATTTCCCTCAGAAAACTGTGGAGAGTGTCAGGAGTGTTATGGCTCGCCACTGAATCTACCTACCTACCATCCTACCGACCTACAGACCTACCTATCTGGTTATTTCCCAGATTGCAAAAATTAAGCAAAACACCGGGCAGAAAAAGTATTCTTTTAACAGAGAAGCCCTGATTTGGGGATTTGAACTTTTGATATCTGGCAACTGCATACATGAATGCTCGCATAGCAGAAACATGTCTGCAATATTTTGTCTTCTTTTTTGAAGAAAGTTTTTATTTTTAAAATACATTTTAGTCTTGTCTTTTATCATCAACGATATTGCATGTTAATATAGTAACAGTTATCATTTATTGACCTTATTGTCATCTCGTCATCGTCTCAATTTAATCATGGGAAAAAACGAACGTCAACGAACATTTTTCGTCATAGTTTTCGTTAACAAAATTAACACTACCACACACTGTCGTCACGCATACAGTATGTAATTATATTATTACTGCACCCAATAATGATGTGAAACGCTGATGTTTCACATGTTTAAAGCATATAAAGTGAATAAACTAGTCTTAATCAACTCACCTTTTTACATAAACCATGAGAAACTCATGACTCACGACTAAGCAGAGAATCATTATCAGACTTCTACTGTTGACATAAAACTGCCATCGGATCACTGCTATATTTCCAATACCTTTTTTGTTATACTTTATGCTTTTCAGCAAAAGACATCAAAAACATATAGTCCTCAACATGTTGGACAGTTTCAGATGGTTCAGTCCGATTTGGTGAAGTGGTTCACCAAAGCAGTTAAGATGAACGATTCATTTGTGAACCAGACATCACTAATGAACATTAAATCAGTGAAAAAAAATATAGAATTTTAATTTTTTTAAAGTTAAATCCATAAAACCTAAAATGTTGCTGCTGTATCTTTTACAGCAAAATAATTTTCTAAACATAAATTAGATTTTTTTTTTTTTTACAGTGCATGTACATCAAACTCACTTTAAATGCCTCCTTGGCCACATTGTCATCAGCATCTCCACGTGCCCATGGTTTGGCAGGGTGGCTCTGCAGGCTATATCCAAATAGATCGATGAAGAAGAAGGCGTACTCCTCCTGAGGAAAACCCAACCTCAAGAACTCCACCATCAGCTTGCGAAACGTGTCCCACTTGCAGCAGACATACACCACTGCAAACACAAGATAGGGAAACTCAATTATCTGCCTCAAGGATACTCATTGAGGGGAAAAAAATGTTCAGACTTAATGAGAATTCAGTCCCACTTATTCCTACAATGGAATGTGCTTGTGTGGCAAATGAGCTTTGGTTTGTACTGCAAATGCAGAAGCACCTGAAAGTCTGACACTTTAATTTGCAATTAGGCTGAAGGTTATTAACAGTTGACGATCTGAAACTCACTCCAAGAGCCGAAATGGAAGTATAGCACAAGAGGATATTGTGTCTCCAAAGCTGTACAACGTGGGATTTTCTGATCTTAATTTGTAGGTAATTGGTAATTGATTTACCAATTACCTACAAATTGAGTTATTTTAAAATTATTTTAATTTGGTTACAAATGCTAAAATTAGTTTGCATGCATTTTGTTGCTGAGGAAAATACATTTTTATGAAACATTTTTAAAAAATGTACTAATTTAGGCAATGGCTGCAGGAAAAATGATATAATCTCAGATTTGATAGGTAAACGTGCATATTAATGATTTCCACTCATACATGTACAGGAATGCCTTGGGATCTTCTGAACTCCATTATTAGTTCTGTCTCCACTATACTGCATAAACAGATTATTTGGCCATATTTATCTAAAATTATTTTACTAAAGTGTTAAACTCGCATACAAATACTAGCTCAGAATAATAGTAATCTATACTATTAATAATTTATTAGATCATCTTCTTGTTTATCAATGAAATTCATATTCACATTTGACTAAACAAATCAATTTTATTATTATATATTATTTTATAGTGATGTTAAGATGCAGTGTCTAAAAGGATACAGAATGCACTGTTTACACATTATTTCCACATGGTTGGGAGCAAGTGTACATTTTAATGCACCACATGTCATTTTAAAAACACATTTTCATGATTTTTTGAATTTACAATTTACACAAAGATTCATTTTGTTCTTGTTTTACTAAGAGAAGTCCCTAATGTATGCAATTTGCTCTTCATTATGTTGCACTACCACTAAAAAGCTTGTTCTTTGCCAGTAAGTGAAAAACAAAAAAGACTTGAAATTGCCCAGCACATTCATTTTTTCTAAACTTCTAAACTGCTAAGTAGACGCTTCCTAGGACTTGCGAGCAGAAGGGTTTGGGCTATGACTGAGTCAAAATAGTTTCAGGATCAACAAAAGATGTTGTTTCAAGAACATGTACTTGGGTAAATCATGTTATAAAATGAACATCTGTCACAAAAATGATACCAAGCACTACATGTTCCAAGGTTTACAGCATCAAAGTTATGTTTATTATTATTATTTTGCTAGTTAATAATCTGCAGGTCTTTCTGAAGGTAAGAAGTGAGGATTTTTTGCAAGTGACCAACAAAAAGACGGCAACAAGACACATTATTCTTTTAAAGCTGACGTGTTTCTGCCGCATTGGCGTCACTAAACAGACGTGCAATAATTGTTTTCAGGTTTCTCAAACACTCCCATCTGCCATTGGTCGCACAAACAAATTCCTGCCCCAAACTCACACCACTGGTTGAGACAATTTTGTTTGCGATACTCGGACAAACAAAAGCAGAGTTTTAGTAGTGCCACAGAGACTTAAGGCCGTTCACACCAAGGATGATAATTATAGCGATAACTATACATGATTATCATTCAGATTCTATAAGAATAGAGTTGTCCACATGACAACCATAATGATAACAACACAGCGGAATGACATCATTGGAATTCACGTTCGTTATAGCTGTCTTTATAGTTGTCTCTACATCTTATTCTGAGATAAAAGTATTTTAAAATTCAAGTTAACATTTAATTTTCACTGCTTTTAATGAACCCTTCCAGAGAAGGATTTGAGGTTATTGCAGTGCAGAAGGCATTGGATGGCAGGTAACATTTGAGTCTGTAACAGTCACTGAAGCGCAGCATATGTCAGGCATATGAAGCAGTGCAGTCAGGGAATCATGTGCTTCATGCTCCTAAATGCCAAAGAGGGGTCAGATCGCCACAGCAATTACACACAGCCCCGCTCCTAATGATGAGCTTGATGAGGAAGAGAGGTGAGGTGTTAATTACAACAGTACCTTTAAAAAAACATATAGAAGGCACACATGTTCAGAATAGAATATTACTGCGCTGGATAATGTGCATCCCATGTCTGTCTGTCTGTCTATCTGTCTATACAAACAGATAGAAAGACTGTCTGATAGACAGAAAGACAGGACAGAATGATAGATAGAATGATCGACAGACAAATGATAGAGCAATCGATAGATAGATAGATAGATAGATAGACAGATAGATAGATAGATAGATAGACATAGACATACATAGCAATAGACAGAACAACAGACAGACAGAATTATAGAATTAGATAGAATTACAGACAGACCCAGAAGACATACAGAGCAATAAATGAATGACAGACAGAATGATTGATAGAATGACAATCAGACAGACAGAGACAGAGAGAATGACAAACATCAGAGTGATAGATAGAACGACAGATAGACTGAATGACAGATAGAATGAGACATACACACAGACATACATAGCGATAAACAGAATGATAGAACAACAGACAGATAGAACTACAGACAGAGCAACAGACAGGTAGATAGATAGAATGACAGATAGATAGATAGATAGATAGATAGACAGACAGACAGACAGACAGACACAGAAAGACAGAACGACAGACACAGAAAGAGAGAATGACAGACATCAGAGTGATAGAACGACAGACAGACTGAATGACAGATAGAATGAGACATACACAGACATACATAGCGATAAACAGAATGATAGAACAACAGACAGACAGACAGACAGAGCAACAGACTAGAATGACAGAAAGACACAAACAGACAGACATAGCATAACAATAGATAGAATGACAGGCTGAATGAAAAATAGAATGACAGACAGACAGCGATAGATAGAATGACAGAATAATAGACAGAATGATAGACACAGACAGAACGATAGAACGACAGACAGAGAATGACAGACAGACACAAAAAGACATACACAGCATAACAAAACGACAAGCAGAACGAAAGGTAGAATGACAGACAGACATACATAGTAGGGATGCACAATATTATTGGAACGTTATCAGAATCTAATCTAATCTAAATCTAATAGCATGCATCCCTAATACATAGCGATAGATAGAACAACAGACAGACAGACATACAGAGCAATAGATAAATGACAGACAGAATGATTGATAAAATGACAATTAGACAGACAGACAGAATGATAGATAGAATGCCACAGACACACAGAATGACAGAACGACAGACACAGAGAGAAAGAATGACAGACATCAGAGCGATATACGCCAGACAGACAGACAGAACGATTGATAGAACAACAGTCAGACAGACTGAATGATAGATAGAATGAGACATACATAGCGATAAATAGAATGATAGCATGACAGACAGACAGAACTACAGACATACAGAGTGACAGACAGATAGAACGACAGACATACAGAAAGATAGATAAAATGAAGGCAGACAGATAGATAGAACGACGAACAGACAGACAGATAGATAGATGGATAGATAGATAGAACGACACAGACAGATAGACAGATAAAATGACAACCAGACAGAATGGTAGATAGTCTGTTCTATCTATCTAGACTTCCTATCACCTGTTGAAGTCTTTGAAATCCTCTGCTATCATGCAGTAATTTTATAAATAATTGATCATGGAGCAACTCCCCGTGACAGAAGATAAAGTGCCGTGTCTGTTGCTATGGCGCTCGGAAAAATACTGTGATACTCGAGTGAACCAGACTGATTTATGTCCAAACTCACAGATGTCATAAAACCTAATCACATGCCACAACAATAACAGAAAGCACTTGTGTCTATCAGGTGTGCAGCATCAGTGCTGCAGTGAGAGATTCACAGCAGGTGGGGCTTAAATAACAGTGACAGATGTGAGAGCTCTCGTTATTTCGGATGAAAAGGTTACCAAACAGCACCACACACAGCTCTTCATTTATGATGCACTGGGAAGCACCCATAAGTCATTATCCTCTATAACGGGCCCAATAACAGTCTGGTCTTCTCCACACATATGGAACTGAAGGAAGAATGGAACAGAAGATCCTACATGAGAGCTCTACATCCCCTCTCATGCACTATGAGTATAGCTGAAGAGTGGAGTCTTTTCTATAAATCTACGAGGTAGTTTGCGTTGATGATTTTAACATTGGCCATCTTGTTCTAATTCTTGGAAACAGTGACTCTTTTCCAAGGTTTAATACACTCATTTCTTGGAAAAGAATTCAATTATGCACTGTGCCACTACATGTCTCCTTCACCTTTACGTGTATCTTTCTTTCCTTTTATATTGAACAGACTTGTTTCTTTCCCAACAACATGACTCACTCACCACATGATTTTATTTTTTTTTTCCCCAGAACATGTAGTAGAGATTGGTCTGTTTTTGGCGCGGGTCATGGATTGAAATATTTATGGTATAGTTCACCCACAAATTAAAATTTGCCGAATTTTCCAAGATGAGTTTGTTTTTTCATCAGAAAAGATTTGGAGAAATTTAGCTTTACATCACTTGCTCACCAATATATTCTCTGCAGTGAATGGGTGCCGTGAGAATGAGAGTCCAAACACCACAATAATCCACACCACTCCAGTCCATCAATTAACATCTTGAATTGAATTGAAAAGCAAATCCATAATTAAGATGCCTTTAACTTCAAACCAGTCCACTATCCATAATATTGCTTTTTCAAGTGAAAAAATCATCTTGTCTGAATCAGGAGAGAAATATGCACAGACCAAGCACCGTTTATGAGTGAAAACAGTTCAATACAGTTATTAACAAATATATTGGTGGATTTTTATGTGAAAGAACAATAGAAAATGGACTTTTTCACTGGAGGAAGCGTTATTATGAACTCATATTTTAGTCAGAAGTGACGGTTTAAAGTTAAAACATCTTAATG